CAAAATCTTTGTTGCCCAGGGTTATCAAACAGCATTTCTGTGAACATTTAGATAGGCATACATTAAATAATAGGCACCAGCATGGATTGATAGTAAATAAATCATGCCAGACAAATGTGATCTCCTTTTATGACAGTTACTAGCCTGGTCAATTGGGGAAATGCCCTGAATATAGTTTATCTTGATTCAGCAAAGCTTCTGACAGCCTCTCGTGGCATCCTTATTAACAAAATAGCCAAATATGGCATTGATAACTCAATCCTTAGAGGCATCCACAGTTGGCTCAATGATTATACTCAGAGGGTGGTTGTACGAGATGTCAAACCTGCCTGGAGAGACATATTGAATGGGGTGCTATGGAGCTCTGTCTTGGGCCTGGTGCTGTTCCATGTTTTTATAAATGATAAAATGATGAGGGAGTCAAGAGAACGCTTGCCAAATTTTCAGCTGATACGAAGTTAAGTGGGCTGGTTAATACTTGGAAAGAAAGGGTGTGTGTGAAAAAGGGTAGAAGAGTAGACAAACAGAATGAAATTTAACAAGGAGAAATATAAACATGCATCTAAATAATAAAAATGGAGCACAGAGTCCAGTTTATAAGAAACAATTATTCTTCTCAGTTAGCCTGACTTGGAGTATTGTATTCATTTCTGGCTGCCCCAGTTTAAAAAAAGGGACACAGAGAAGGTCTACCAAGATGGTGAAAGAACTGGAAATCAACTCCTATATGGAACAGTTAAAAGACCTAGGCCTTTAGCTTATAGAAGTAAAAGTAAAAAGGAGGCATGATAGTTTTTTTTCAAATATCTGAAGGGCTGGTACATTGCATGGGATGCAGCTGTATTATCACTTACTTCAGACTAGAACTGGAAGACTAGAACTAACAGGATAACACTTCAAGGATACAGAGTTAGATTGCACATTAGAAAGAACCTCTTGACAGTAGTCATCAGAGCAGGTCACATCATGGAATAGTTTCTTCCATTTCACTAGAGGTTTTTTTTTTAAAGCCTGGATAATTGGGAATGGAAGTATGCAGAGGTTGAACAAGGTGATCTCTTAAGTTCCTTCTAACTCTACAATTCTATGACCAAATCAGCTCCAAGGCCAGGTATGCTTTGTATACAATGCCCAATCAAAGATACTCATCTACCTATCTACTTGAGTATCTGTAATGTGCTGGAGGAAAGCTTATTTGAACTTCTGGTAGTATTTAACTATGGATGTGTTTTTTTTTTAGCACTGCTACTTTGTTGATTTTGGTTGCAGGTGATTTTCATTACTAACCACATATGGCATTAAAATGCATTTTCAAAAAGCATTCTTAGCATGGTAACCTTTCAGTTGGTTAGGAGCCAACTGGTTAGGCGAGACAAACAATAAACAATAAGAACAAAGTCTTGCCCAATTCTTCCTGTAAAGAGGGAGGGGGGGACTACTGAGTGAAGGTCTGGAGGCAGCAGTTGCTTCTGTTCATTTCCTCAAACTATTTTTGTTTTGGAGAATGAAAACTTTTAGATGTTGTCATCAAAGCAGCAACTGCTCTAGCTTTTCCCTTCACTGAATTTCTTAACTAAGCAACCCAATAGTGAAAACTATGCTGTGGACCTCATAGTTTCTATTCTTTTAAAGGAGACAACTGGGAGTGGTAACACCACATGTTCTGGACTGCAACCCTCACTCATCACTGACTATATGGGCCAGGGCTGACAGGTGAAGTCCAAAGTATCAGAAGGCACAGGATGCTTTCCTCTAAAAAGAAAGATGAACGAGTGAAGACTGTTGTTGCTAGTGCTTCCACATTAGATAAACATTTCTGTTTCTTATTGCAGCCACTTGCATGTATATACTATTTCTTTGGGCAAAGCAGATGAAAGAATTGGGATTAGTTGGACTATTCACCGTAAGTAGGTAAAATTCTCTTCTTCATTGGGGTTATGATAGGCAACTTGGCTGGGTCTCCCACTGTTAACATGCTTCATAAGGTGAGAGAGTCCAGGAAGAGAACTCTTTCAGTAACTGCTTTTTTTCAAGCAAAGGCATAGCTTGTGCTCCCAATTTTCCTGTTGTGGGGCCTTGAGGTGTTCCAAGAAGTGAGTAGGACTGAGGAGTATCCTCTTTCCTCTCCTCCTAAAAGTGGTACAGTTCAGGAGGAAAGTATTGAAGAAGATTAAATGCTATGTGGCAGGGGAATCTCTCCTTTTCTGATTGTTACTAGGGTCTCCCAAATAGAATTTGCTATTTACAATTGGATAGTTTTTCCTTACCCTTTTACTGTAGTTGCTTTTCATTCAAAATACAAGCAGAGAAGAAGTAATCCTGTCATAGTGCTGTCATCTTGATCTGAATTAACTTTTGTCCTAAGGCTGTCTGATCTGTAAGCAAATAGTGTATAAAACCCACAGAAGATGATGGACTTTCTGTATCCTGTCTAGCTTAGATTATTTTATTTCTGGATCTTTGTTTGGGCTTTACATTCTTAATAAAATCATGAAGTAGAAAGGAAAATACCAATCCTTTAAAGTGATAAAATATAGTTATGCATAATATGCACCATATATCCTAAATATTTTAGATCTTTATAAGTAAAGGGGTGAATCTTGAAAATTAATCTATTTGTATATATGTAGTATCCCGAAAAGAAACTGCTGTAATATACATAATATATAATCTAAAATATGTCTACTCAGAAGTAAGTGCCTTTCTTTAGTATAAAATTACAACCAGGCTAAACCGAGTTGAATATACAGTAGATGGATTTAATGTTGAATAAACACTGAAAATAAAGACAGGGTGACTTAAATCAAATTTTAGATAGAACTTCATATACTTCCTAAAGTATCAGCAAACCAAATTATATGTTTTACTTATAGTTTCATTCTTTCAACTACATCTATTTGTCATAATTCGAACACCAGTATTAACTTATAAAGCGATAATCAGTATTTTTTTTAAAAAAAAGGGTTGAATTAGGTGTGCTTTTTATTATGTTTTAAACTTTTTGTTTCAAAACAAAGCGCTTGAGCAAGAATCAAACCAGGATAGTTTGTGATTCAGATATAGCAATCTTTCACGACTGGAGAAGCAAAATGCTTCTGGAGGATGAACCACTATGTATAAAATTCTCCAGGAGTTGCATTAGCAAGGTAGAAAGGATGTGAAGTTTTATTTTGTCTCAAACTTCTTTCCCTTTATTTTTTTTTATTTGTTTACAATTCTCATATATATCCTGATGGAAGAAAAACTAAGGTATAATTCTTCCCACTCTAGGTACATTTGGGTTGGATGTGTTTCCTTTTTGCCTTCCCTATCATCCAAGCACTGTGGCAGAGATCAATCTCTGTAGACCAGCACGGCAAAGAGGTTTCCCCCTTAACTGCAGTGAGCAAGTCCTGCTACATTTTGTGACCCCCAACATCTCTCCCAGGTAACCTATGAGGGCTCCCTTCATATGAAATTATAGCAACTTTCACTGTATTATTTTGTGCACTCCCATTCTTACCAGTGTTGCTTTTTACAGATTCATAATGCCTTGATGCCAGCCCAGTCGCACAAAAAGAAAATAGTGAAAAAGTGATGCCTGTAATTTACAGATTACATTTTTTCCAGTCTGAAAAAAATAGCAAAATGTTGAAAACTGTTTTATATTCCTTTAATTCAATGTAATTGAAAAAAAAAGTATTTGTTAAATGCAGAGCTAGCATGCTCATTCAGACTATTTAATACTGACAAATCATTTAAAAGGAATTTATGATCTGCATTTTTAAGTATCTGATTTTAAATTAAAATAATACTGTTGAAAATAGTGTCTGTTTGCAATATATTCATCAGTTTAGTGTTCTGGGTAAATAACCCTGATTTTTTTTTTAACAAACTAGTCCCCAGCATGCCTATTGACCTGGTTTTAATCTGGCCAAATTTTTAGGAGAAGTTGGAGACACCTAAGTAACCTTTACAGTGTAAACTGTATTCCAAAGTAATTTGTTTCATTTACTCCTGCATAAGTTTAGATAGCATCCAATTTTAGGGAAGTTAAAAGGGGTGCATAAAACAAACAAATAAAAATTGCAAAGGTTTTCACACCACTTTCATTTTACTATGTTTTTCTGTCATATCAATGCTTATCTAATTTAGTCTTGAGTTTTGAACATTTTCATGCATCAACATGAAACATAAAATTCAGCTTCCCACTGTGTCTATGCAGTCATCCGAATCTTTTTGTAGAAGGCGAAGTGCAGGAAAGTCGTAAAGTGTTGATATTGGCATTACGGATGTGAGATGTGCAATGACGGAATTAAGCTTCACATGTGAAAATCCTTTATTCATTCTGTCGTCTTTGTATGAACTTTGCGCTTCACACACTAGATCTCCAATGTGCATCACTGTACATCGGAAGAAAATCCTTCCACTTGCATCTGTATTATACACGCAGGTTTGTTGACGAGATTGTACACAGTGAAGTGCTTAGTTAAAATTGATCGGCTAGCACACAATCATGCTGTAGGCCACTTTACAAACTACAAACTCAATATCTGCATTCTTTTAGGGATTCATTTATCACATTGGCCATTCATAAATATAGAGGAGCAAAACAAGAACAAAGGCAAAAAGAGAGTTAAGTACGGATCGCCTTCACCATATTCGGCAGCATGGACAAATAGCAGCCCGCTCAGGTACTAAAAGGCCCCAAAGTGACTTGACAGATCGCGCAAGAGAGGCCCCGTTTCCTTTAACTCCTCTTGCTTCAATAGCGTCCCTTCCCCTCTCATTCACCTCTTTTATCTCCCCCTCGCCGTGGCTTCCTCTTCCATTCAGGACCCATGGGCTTGAAAACGAGCTGCACCTGCTTTAGATGAATTATGGTAAAACTGGAAGTAACTCGCTCTCCCACCCCTCCCTTCCAAGCTCTCAAGTCACATCTCCAGTACAGACACAACCCCTGTGATTAGACGCTGATCTCCCCGTCTGAATGGGACAGAGAAAGAGAGAGAGGAGGGACCCACGGCATAGAGATTGACTCCCCCCCCCCTTGAGACTTCCATTGAGGAAAACGGAAGAGAAGAAGGAAGAAGCAGGCACCCCCCCTCCCCACTACGATACGAGAGAAGGAAACAGCCAAAGCTTGAGCAGGAGAAAAGTATGACCATGCCCGAACTGTGTTAGAGCTTTCTTTTCTCTCTCTCTCTCTCGGCCTCTCTCTCTCCCCCCCCCCCTCTCTTCTCCCCCCTCTCTTTGTCTCCGAGGTGTTTAACTTTGGGGGATCTTGGGCATTTCTGCACCGCAAGGGACGAAGCTGGAGGCGGCGGCGGCGGCGGCAAGACAGCAAGAAAGAGGCAGCCACATGCGCCGAGTGGGGGGTGTTAAAAGTTGAGTCTCGATTCCGGGCGCCGTAAGATCAAAACAGGTTGGTGGGATCTCTTAGCAACCCCAGCGGCCTCCCCTCACCCCCAATCCTCTGAAACTTTCATTGTTGGTTTACTTTTGAATCCAGGCAAAGGGACCTTTTGTAGTTCCTTCCTCTTTTCTTTTTCTTTTCCCTCCCCCTTGCTTGAAAAGGACCGTTCTGCTTGAAGTCTCAAGAAATTACCCAGAATATTTGCGCCGGGAAAACCCGTGAAGTTGCTCAACTGGCCGATCTGGTGTTACTTCCCCCCCCAGTCTCCCTCCCCAGGTGTTTTGGAAAACAGGTGTCAGGGGAGGCTGAGATTTCTGCTTTGTTGGTTCCTTCTCTGCCCCCTCTCCTCCCAGCGACCCTTGTCCTTCCTCGCAGTGTCCAAAGGAGAGCGAGGAAAACCCCTTAAGAATGTCGCGGGAGGTTACCGGGGGGCGGGGGGGGGAGGAGAAGCGGCGGCTTGAACATATGTAGAGAAGCCACTCGGAAGGCGGCAGCTGCCCGCCGCTCCGAGTGTTTGCTTTGGATTTCTGGCTGGCTGTTGTTGTTTTTTTTGCCAAGGAGGCGCGTGAAAGTTCGGGGCACCCGGGACCTGAAGCGGGCGAGAGACAAAGAGAAAGGTTTCTGACGGAGGCAACTTTTCGGCCGGGATTTTGCCAAGCCGGGGGGGGTTGAGGGGTTGCGGAGCCAGCGCCCCCCCTCCCCCCAGGATGGATGGGGCATCGGCCGGCGACGAAAGTGGCACGTTGGAAGGCTTCCTCTTTGTTCGGGGGGTGGGGGCGGCGGCGGAGAGGAGAGAAGGCAGAGATAGGAGGATCTTGCCTGGGGGGGGGGGAATGAAGGAAGAAGCGGTGAGCGTGTGTGAGAGAGATTGAATGAGTGTGTTTGGCTGTTCGGTTTTGTGTGTGTGCGTGCGAATACGATGAGGGGTGGGGAGAAGATGTTGCAAAACCGCTTTGGGGTTTCTCCAGATCAATCAGTTCGGTAAGTGTGTCTGTGAATTACAATTTATTGTGATTGACAGGACGGGTTGACTCCAAGGTTTTCGCGTTTATGGCCGTCTTGAGTACACACCAGGGTGGGGGAGGGGAGGGAGAGGGAAAGCTTCGGATCGGGACGGCTGATTCCTGCTCTCTCTGCCCCCCCCCCCAACTTCGTGGAGTAACTTTTTTGGTAGTAACTTGGTTCAAATTGCCTAGCAAAAAAACAAAACAGAACCAGCTTTTAAGTTCGTTCTTTTCTTCGGGATTGTAAAATGTTCGGATGGTAGAAAAACATTAAATGGCTAGAAAATGCCTCAGTTGGACTAAATTTTAGATGATTTTATTATAAACAACTTTTTTTTAGTTAATAGATCTGTTTTTTGAAAGGGTAGGTGGAATAAAAGTTACAAAAGAATATTTCCTTTTATTGTGACTTTAAAGGAGGCTTTGTTTTACACATTTATTTATATTGCACAGAATATAACACTGTCAAAGAGGCTCCATCAGTCAGCGTGCCATCAATTTCTTGTTGGCTTTCCTTCTTTTTAATGTCACCTATGACTAGAAATGTTAGTTTAGGCTAAAAGTATCTGGGTAACTACTGGATATGTTATTAGCCCTAATATAGTATGCTAGTTCTAATTTTTTCTCAAATGGAAGAAGTGACTTCTATAAATGAACAGAAGTACAAAACGATATAAATATCTATAATGTATGGTGTTGATTAAAATGTAAATAGCAGATGGAGTGGCACTTGAAATATCATTGCTCAGTGCATCAACTCAGGTTTCTAATTTTAAAAAATATTGAAAATCAAAATTTCATTATTAAGATGAATCTTAAATGGACAATTTTGCAATTGTTTCAGAATGGATGTTTAGTTCCCTGACTATAGTCCAGTGAACCTCAGCCAGTATCTCCTATTTTCACGTTTCTTTGGGCAACAGAGAAGTTTCAAGCAAACTATTGAATGAATTATAGTTTACATAGATTTGTGAATTGTATTAATCCATCTTTATGATATTCATTTCCCCACAATAGGGGCAAATAGCAGCTCTATTTCCTGCCCATTTTACTAAAATTCTGAGTCGTCATCCCCAGTTCTTCTACACACATGTTTACACCACCCCTATACAAGGTTTTTTTTTCTTTGGTAAGAATTAGTTAATGTTGGCATCTTCCATTTTTAGTATGTACCTGGAACAAACACTTTGTCTTGAATTTCATATTTTGTTTAAAGCTGTTTAAGCACATTCTACTCAAGTTCATAATACATGTTGCATAAATAGGAATAGGCATTATATTCTTGTTAAGTGCAGTATTAAGAGAAATGTGTTGGATACTCTCATGGTAGCTGTAAGCCCTTTATTTATAGATCTCTTTCCAGAGTTCATTGACAACTTCAAATATATGCTCCAGCCAAAAACTGCATTTGTCTCTTGAAGATAAAGTTTATAAGGCAGTCTTCTATTCTAGACAATTCTACTTTTTAGCTCTAGATTAGAACTTTAATATTTTCAGATATTGGGAGTGGGAGCATGGGGATAAGAAATAGAAGTATTGCTTGATATAATAATGTAGAATATTATCCAGATGTACTGTTACAAGAAAGGGACTTGTTCCTCTAATAGGCCATTTTGTATGAAATTTACATAGTGTATGATATTAACCTTCAGCCAATAGAACTCATCAGTAGTATATCTTAGCTGGTAATAGCAGTGAGGACTCAATTGAGAAAGTTCATACGAAATTAACTTTATTTAATCCTATATACATATAGAAGTAAAATCCTCTGAGTAACTTCTAAATGGTATAAAATATTCCAGTACTGCAGTGAAGCAGTAGTCTTAATTTTTATTGTGTTTTAAAGTAAAACTAAAATCTAAAGGTAAGTAATCCTCAAATAATTTGATTTTAAAATATTTAATCTTTTAAATTCTAAATTAGTAAAAAGAAAATCAGGCAGATTCTATGAAACTGGGCAGAAAACAATCTGGATCAGATATATTATTTATTGTGCAAACCAAATTAGAACAGAAAAGTGATTAAGAAAATTATTTTTTTTCATGTGGGAATAAATGTATTAAAAGTCATTCAATCTATATGTTGAAGATTTCTTAGAAAGTTATTCAAAGTTCAATTGAGTCCTTGAATGAATATTTGGTGTGTATGTATGTGTATAATTTATATGTAAATCTGAAATGTGCAGAGTATAGGTTTGTAAAAATAATTTCCTAAAAGTACAACAGTTTTAATGTATGTACTGTTTCATATAATTAATTTGTGACCATCTTTGCAGTGCAAATTATAATCAAAATCCTCGGTAATCTATTCATTTATGCATTATATGCCAGACCAAAAAAAAAGTTCATTGAGCATTGAGATAGGAAAGAACTTTAGAATATGAAACATATAGTGTAGGGATAATGATGTCTTATCACAGCTCCATTGCACAATATTGTAAGAAGACTAGGAAATTGACAATGAATTCCACTCTTCTCAGACTAATAACTTTTAGACTATAAAGGTGCTGAGCACCCTGTTATCCTAATGCCACACATTTTAAAATTATAATAAAAAAACCTGCATTTAGGATTAAGAGAAAATAGTTTAGATGAGTAGTTTAGGTCTAAGCATAACCATATAGATTTAATAATTAACATTTCCATTTATTGTTCCTTTATTAGAGGAGATTAAAATCAAGAACAGAGAAGAATTTTGGTGTGCTCCTAACTCAGATTTCCCGTATAAGAAAGAAGGATTTCTTAAGACGAAAAAAAAATCTATAAAGCAAAGAGCAAATAAAATAAGCACTTGAGGCGCTTTCTCTTTTTCGTTTCTAATAACCAAGCCGGGAACTATGTGCAGTCAGTTGTGAAGTTTTTGCCCAAAGAAGCCTAGGAGCATTTCTTTTCTCGTGGCACAGGGGATGCTTTTGAATCTGATAATGTTTCTGTGTGTCTTGCTGTGGGCTTGGAATAGGGGAGGATGGGGGGGAGATAAGCTGAAAATATATTTCTGTTATATGTGGAGAAGAAGACTGGAAAAAGAAAAGATTCTGTTGCATTTTACTTTTAAGAGGAATTATGGTCCAATCCTATGCATACTTACTCAGAAATTAATCTCATTATGTTTAATGGAGCTTACTTCCAGGCAAGTGTGTATACGGTAGTTTTAATCAAATCTTTGTTTATATTTCAGAAGTAGGGTAGTGGAAATTTTTTAACCTATATGTTACAGAAGACTGAATGGAAAGGGGCACACATAGATTACCCATGTATGCTATTTATTTATTATCCTATGAGTCTCTTTAGAAAGAATGGAATTGTGTACATTTTACCTGTTCTCTACCACAGCAGGCAAGTTTCCCCCCCCCTCAAAAAGTTGAAGTGGAGAGAAAAGGGGGAGGGGGGGAGAGGAAGGAATTTCCTTCTTCAAATCTTCCTTCCCTGCTAGCACGTGTGCTTCTTACTAAGGAAGGCATTTTCTCTCCCTGAGATTGCACATCTGCGCTTTAAAAGGGCAACTTAATATTACAAAGATACTTGATTTTGAAATTCTGCAAGACATTGGTTTGTAGGCTCTTAATAATCAAACTTTCAGGTTGAAATAGGCTACTTTTATTAAGTCCTTATGGAGAAGGTCCTTTTGACTGCAAAATTGCATTGTTGCATCTGAGATATCTTAAATTGGGTAGCAAACATTTTTAGCACTATTTATCAGCAACTTCGGATTCCAGTGTTGCCCATTTTGATTTAATTA